ACAACAAAGGATCTCTGGTAGCGTAGTGGTTAGGAGTCAGGCTGCTAACCTCAAGGTCAGCTGTTTAAAACTACCAGTGATTCTACAGGAGAAAGATGAGGCTTTATGTTCCTGTAAAGAATTATAGCTTTGGAAACCCTATACAGGGTTGCTAAGACTTGGAACTAACTCCATAGCATACTATCACCACCATAGGGTTTCCGAGGAGCAGCAGGTGGGTTTGAACCACCGACCTTGCAGTTAGCAGTTCAGTGCTTTTCCTACAGGGCCACACCAGGACTCCATATAATCAATGGTGGTGGTGGTTATGTGCCGTGAAGTCAGAACTGACTCATAGCGACCTTGTACAGGTTTCTGAGGCTGTAAATCTTTACGGGAGCAGAAAGCCTGGTCTTTCTCCAGTGGAACAGCTGGTAGTTTCGAAGTTTACCTTAAGGTTCGCAGCCCGAGTCGTAACCACTACGCTACCAGAGCTCCTTATATAATCGATAGTGTTGGTTTTAGGGTTAATATTGTTAGGATCATTAATAGGTCATCCAATTTACCTTCCAACCAGGTCATGGCCACTGCAGTCTCTCCAATTCCACAAGTGTAGGGCCCAGCTCCCTCCCTGAGCTCCCTAGGTGCTGAGTCATGGCTGTCATGTGACCTAAGGGAGGGGCGGAGTCAAGCGCCTCAGGACAATACCAGTTTGTATTTAGTCCCAATGCTACCTCTGAGGAACTGGTTCTAGGTCTCTGAGTCTCAAACACCTCTCCTCCACCCCCCCACCCCCCCACCCCCGCCCAACACACACACACTGGAGACAAAATTTAAACAGAAATCAGGCCATTAGTCTCTGATGCTCCACACTGCCCCACAAACAAACCAGGCCTAGACGAGCTTGACCCTTCCGGTCCCAGGACCTGCCTGTAAAATGGATCTTCAGTGAGTAAGAGGCTGAAAACTAGTTGCTGTCAAGTTGACTCAATTAAATTCTGCGTATGGAGACCCCGTGTGTATGTGTCAGAGTAGAACTGTATTCCATAGGGTTTTCAGTGGTTGACTTTTCAGAGGTAGATCACCACATCTTTTTTTCTGAGGCACCTCTTGATGCACTCAAACCTCCAACCTTAGCAGCTGAACACATTTAACTATTTGCACCACTCAGGGACTCAGAACAGGTCCCTTATTAAGCATCCACCAGTCAGCTGACCCACACTGCTCTCTGGTGGCTGAGGGTGGAACTACTGTGGCCACCGGTAATCGGGCTCGACTCTCAGCTCTTACCTATCCAGGGCCCTAATTTTCTGGTACCACCCATCACTTGGAGACGGTCTTCTCCTGCCTGACTAGCCAGTTAAGCTCCTATGCTGTCTGGATGGATAGATGGACTCATTTTCCCATCTTACCTCCTCTACTCCCTGTTGTGTGGCACAAACAAGTCAGTTTCTGCCCAGTCTTGCTTTGCTGGACAAGATGCTTTCTGACTTGGTGGGGATGTTTGTCAACACTCATCTTGGTGTCCAGGCTCTGAACCCAAGAATCCAGTGCCTCCTTCTACCCCACTTTGTGTCCCCTGCTTCCTGACAAGGACACACCTGCCCATATTGACCCTCTCCTGAGAGGTAGGACAGGGGTTACCACCACCAGCAGACCAGGGCACTGACTCCAACTCAGCCACTAGACACTGAGTGTGGCACCTCTGTTTTCCAGCCTGTAAAATGGGGCTGTAGGCCTTGTCTGCCTTAGGGTTGCATGCATTAGGGACTCATGGAACTGCGGAGTCTTGTCCCATGGAGTTTTGTGAAGGCCTTCTCTGTGCCCCTGTGGCGCTCCCTCTGGCTGGGATACTTGGAAGGGGAATTGGGTGGGGTGGAGACTTGGGAGGTTGGGAGCCTTCCTGGCTACACTCAATACACCCTTGCCTGTTCCTCTCGTAGATTCTGAGGTTTTGCATCAAGAAGATGGGTTGGGAAGGGCAGGCCCCCCACTCCATTCCTCTGGTCCGTAAAGGCCTGGCTACGTCCAGTGTCTCCATTTGAACACACATTTTGATCTGTGGCCTCCTGCTAATGCCAACCTATACTGACAGAAAACAAGGCTCTGCTCACATCTTTGGAGTTACAAAATGGCTTTATTAACAACTCCACTGTGTGCAGTTTTGCATGAAGAAATAGCGAGCATCAGTCTGTCATTACAGAGCCAGGAGAGCCCAGGTAATTTTCCCACAGCTGCCCACACCCCTCCCTCCATCTGGAGGTCCTTCACCCCCACTCTCTGCAACTCCACTAATCCTTTAGCTCTGTCTTCAGGGCCACATCCCCAGCCAGCTCCGTGGAGGCCTGGTAAGCTTCCTTTGTTGCATGTTTCCCCAGAACTTGGTTCCTGACCTCCAGATACACATGGGAATGATCTATTTACTTGATACTGTGATCTGAGTCACTTCTGCCTGTCTCAAGGCAAGCCTCCTGCTAGCAGCATCAGCTTGACTGCTGTGTCCCCAGCATGTGGCACTGGGAAGACACTGAATAAACTTGAATGAATGAATGAACAAAACAAAATGTGGGTAAATGCCTCTTTCTCTGTTGCTCCCTTTTTGTGGTAGGAGCGAGGATGTTAGGAATCAGAATGGGGTCACTGCGACCACTCCTGCCAAGCTCCAACAGGTAGGAGGTTTGGCCCTCATTCTGTGGGTGACTCCTGTACTAACTGCTCACCCCCAAGACACACTCTGCCCTGTTATTACTTGCCACCTCCACACGGCTTCTATTTGTGTGAATGATCTGTGCTCAGAGCCTTGGGAAATCCTTGCTCAGGTTGCCGAGCACTGCTTGCTATCAGAAGGAAACAAGGGAAGCTGTGTTGATGGTGGGCAGGTGGAATGTGGAGGGTCAGGGTTCAAGTCCTCACTCTCAGGCAGAGATAGGAAAACCAAAAGTAAGACACCGGCATGACACAGGTGGGCCCAATGACACCAAACACAGCATCCTCCTAAGATGTGGGCTGTGCCCTCCACAGCCTGCCCAGCACAGTAGGAACAGGGCCCTGGGAGACCCAGACCTCAGAGACACCACTTGGGTGGGCCGCAGGAAGACATTGGGGTCAGAGAAGCCTTTCCATTGGCCCTTAAAACACTCCCATAGGTCCCCCATCTGCTTGCTCCCTGCCTGTTTCCCTCGAAGATTCTGGGGTTTTCCATGAGAAATTGGAAAAAAGCCAGTAATGTCTGAGGTGCCAGGGCAGTCTTGGGACATGGTGACCTCATGTGCCACTTACCTGATGGCCCCGGGCTGCCTCCTTGGAGCTGGTTGAGCAGTATTTTTTGTCGGATCAGGAGTGCCTGTGGCACTGGTTTTGGAGTCTAGTCTAGTTTGTTCGCTAATCGCAGTTGTGGAACTCTGTCCAGGTGGAGTCCACATAGGAGCCCAAAGTCAAACCTTGGACCTTGGTTGAGGGCTTTGAGGACCCACTTAGCTCACAGTCTGAGAACAACCCCCCCCCACCTCCGGCCCCAAGCCTCATCATTTTTCAGCTTAAGGAAACCCAACCCACTACCTTAAGTCAATTCTGAGCAGTAACTGCTCCCTAGGGTTCCCAACACTGTGAATCTGTACACAAACAGACGGCCTTGTCTTTCTCCAATGGAGCAGCTGGTGGGTTTGAACTGCCCACCTTGTGGTCAGTAGCTCCAATGTTTAGCTCCCTGTACCACCAGGGCTCTTTTACTTTAAGTAAGTCCTGGCAAATGGAGACCATGAAATCACAGGATCTGAGAGAGCAGAAAAGTGAGTTTGGGGGTGAGCATGGGAAGCTGCCTTCTTGCTGTCAGTGCACATGGACAGGTGTGTTTGCCCGGGCTCCAGGACTCAGCAACCAGGAGGCTAATGCTTTGCAGTGAGCAAGCAAGGAGCCCTTTTACAGGGCCACATGGCTACTTGCTCCCTGGGACAGATGGGTAGATGCACCTGAGGGGACAAACAAGGATAGGAGGAGCAGCCATCCCTGACCCTAGGCCTTTTGAGTACTGGCAGCCACTGGCCTGACTCCAGCTGGCAGTTCATTGCCAACTAGAGTCAGCCCACAGAGTCACACTGAGCTTTAACTCAGCTCCTTCCTCCACCCAGTCCTGGGGGAAGTCGGAGCTGGTGGATGCTGCCCATCGAGCAGAGTAGGCCACAGTCCTGAGCCGCAGGAGAGGCCCCCAGGTCATTGAGAAACCATGTGGAGAAGCTGACAGCTGTTAGGGTCCTGTGTGGGGAGCTGGCAGGTAACCTTCAGCTGTCCCCTTGGCAAGACACAAAGATGGAGGAAACGCTTGCTTAATCTTCAAGCAGCAAGGCAGAGCCCAGGGTGAGTGCTCTCAGTATCCCCGCACCACCATACCGCCCAGTTCTGCTTTGACTGGCTCACACGGATTCTGAGCAGGGAAGAATCAAAGCTGAATGTCGGTGGGGAGGTCATTGAGAACCCACCAGAGACTCAATCTTGATTTACTTCACTCTGTGTAAAGCCCAGTCGGTCTCTGGTAGTTAGCCCTGCATGGGACTGTCTCTTGATTTCTGATTTGTGACCAAAGATGGGAAGACAAGCTGAGAGGGGCTTCACTGCTCCGCTGGAACTGAGGATCCCCTCCTTCCACCCTGTTGCTGCCAGCTAGTCCTGATCAATCTGCTGACTTCGTGCAGGAAGGCGGTATCTTTGCTTTTCTGGCCTGGGCTCAGCCAGGCTCCTTAGCAGGGACACCAGGTGTGGGTGAGTCCTGAAGAGCTGGGCCCTGCCAGGAATAATGCAGTGGACTCTAGCTCATATTGTGGGCATCCTGGGAACAGGGCATGAGGTGCTTGTCTGACTCCTCATGCACTGTTGTCCCACTTCTTGCTGGGCCACTATGCCAGGTGGGCACACTAAGAGCTGAGAGGGTGGGCAGCTCACTGTAGCCACCTTCAGCACCACCTTACCTGGGAGAACAAGAGACAAGGGACAGAAAGGGGTTGCTAAGGGTTGGCAAGTACAGTCACAGAGGTGGCCGAGGTCTTCATTCTGCTTGGGGACACCTCATTGCCTCGAGACCGTGAATCTTCTCCTCGGAGGCCTTGTCGGGGAGCAGAACCTCCACAGTGTAGCTGACCTTCTTACTGTGCATCATGCTGTAGGTGTTGTCGAAGCGCAGGACATCTGTAAGGGTGGACAGGTGATCAGCCGAGTGGCCACTGAGGAAACCAAGTGGCCGCTGCAGGGAAATTAATGATATAGGTGGTGTGGGCTGTCCAGGCCTGTGGGTCAGCCAGTGGCCAGCTCCAAGCCCATCTCCTACCATTACTTCCTTAGATGATGTTTATACCACCTAAAGGAATAACCACCAGCATGCAGTTAAGTCCCTTTCATGTGCCAGGTGTTTTACAAACACGTTACGTCACCTGAATCCTCAAAGCAGCCCTGTGAGGAAGGTATCCAATATATAGCCTCTGCTTCTGAGTCAATTTTGACTCATGGAGACCCTATAGAAGAGAGTAGAACTGCTTCATAGGGTTTCCTAGACTATAAATCTTTACAGGAGCAGACAGCCTCATTTTTCTCCTGAGGAGTGGCTGGAGGGTTTGAACCACTGACCTTGAAGTTAGCAATCCAGTGCTTAACCTACTGAGCCACCAGGGCTCCTATGAGGAAGGTGCAGTCACCCCTATTTCATGGATGAGAAAACTGAGGGTTTGAGAGGTGATACTAGTTTCCTTTGGTCCTATCACAAGGGAGTGGAGGAGCTGGGACTCGCTTGTCCCCGTATTCCAACCAGAGAAGAGATCAGCTTGCCCCTGAGGAGAGAGCTGAACTCTCCATGCTGCCTTTGCATCTCAGTGGAACCCAAGGAGAGTCATTCAGATTTCTCTGGTGTCCACCCTCCTGATTCTTCTGTTTCATAAAACTGGACTTGGTATGTGTTGGCACTTCCATGAGAAGTTCCCAGTAGGGGTGGAAGGTCTGCATGTTCCTAGACAATGTTGCTAATGGTAAAAATCAGCAAATTGCATCTGACCTGGGAGGCCTGAGAATGAATGATACACACTTAGAAGAAACTACTTCTTTGGGCTTCCAAGAGCATGGTTGTCCGCACAACTAGAAGGTTGCTGTTGGAAGCACTGAAGCTAAGCCCATGGCTGTTCTATGAGGCAGGGGGTTTCCAAGCCAGGGGATTGTAGGTGAGGGGTCTTCATATACCCCGGTGCTTTCTTCTCTCACACCTGAGCAACCACAAGGGTCACTTGGGAGTGATGGGGCCTTAAGTTCTGGCCTCTGCTTCCTGTGTGGATACCTGCTGATGCTACCCTTCCTGAATCCTTCTACCTGAACTACAGTCAATTGTGACCTGTTAATGTTTTGGAACTAGACCCAGGATCAAGAGTGGTTACTGCAGGGATCACACTGGAAAACAGAGTAAGGCTGTGGAAAATTTCCTATTATGAAGAGCTGGAATACGACTCATAGGAAAAATCAGAAACAGACCCAAGGGCTATATATGAACCAACTTGAGAGACTGTGAAGGAGGCATTTCAAGGAACTAGGGAAAGAATGTATTCAATGAATGCTAATGGGCTGTCAACCAATACCTCCCAATAGACCCCGGTTGAAATTCCAAAAGGAATAAAAACTTTAACATTAGAAATGAAAATGCTAGATGAAAATAGAAACGAGTATTATATAATCATGAAGTAGGAAAGGGCTTCTGAGTGACAATAAAGACAGAAAGCAAAGAAGGAAAACTGACCAAAAAAAACCAAAACACAAAAAACATATACCTTGGTGACAAGGTCTTATTTTACTGTCTCTTAGCTTGAGAAGCCTGATGTGGGGCTTCCCAGGAGCTGAGTCCCTGCTCCAGCTTGGTGAACCCCCCTATCCCTCTACAGTACACCTTGGATCTTGCATCAAGGCTTGGGACCACTTACCAGGTCCAAGACCTGTAGCCAAACCCCCTGGTGTCCATGAGTCTTAGAGTTTACGCAGTCCCCACCCCTCCCTGTGAGCTGGAAATAGAGGTAAACAGGGCCTGGTAAGAGATGGCCAGTTCATTTCTCCATCAGGAGGAGGAAAACAACTTGAGTGAACATAGGAGCTCTTACAGACACCAGCCTTGAGACAGGTGAGACTTCCATCCTCGGGCACCATGTGGGCATTGTAGCGCTGGCTAGGCAGCACCTCGGTCATCTCGCCTGCCCGCTGCCGCTCCCTCATCTTGGTCTTCAGGAAGACACCAAAACCGATGTCCCCCCCATCTGATGCAAACTGCCACCTGCAGTGGACAGATCCCTGCTGAGGACACTGCCTCAGTCCCAGGGCTTCTCCCAGCTGTGCCCAGGCAGGGAGGGGCCGCTGTCCCTACCTGAGCACACAGCCTGGGAACAGGATCTCATTCTCCACCTGCAGGGAGGAGCTTCGGCCCACAGGTACCGTGTGCTCATACTGCATCTTCACCTGGTTGCGTAGGTAGTAGCTTTTGGGCACCTCGCCCCCGTAGTTGATCTGAGGGTGGAGGCTTGTGAGCAGGCACTAGACCACAACCTGCCCATCTCCTCTCTCCCCAGCCTCTGGGCACCCTTTACCTTGGTCAGGCACTTGGGGTTGCCATCGGGGTCAGTCATGGTCCCCCCAAACACTACAGGAAGCTGGTCAGGGCTGATGTACTGCAGGAGCTCCTGCTTCCAGTTGGCTGCGGGGAGGTGGGAATGAGCCCAGAGAGAGGCCTGATATGCCCTTGGCTTGCTACCCTGAGCCCTAAAAGCTTTATGTGGCTACATAGGCCATGACCTAGGGTCTGCGGTCTCCCCTGTGAGTGCAGAGTCCAACTGGAGTCAGGTCAGGGCCAGCCCTGAATGAAGAGAATGGGTTGAGCACAATGGGGGCGTTAGTACTGGACTTTGCTTCCTGCCAGATGTCAAATCACTTACCTCCCAGAATTACTATCTTCTTGCATGTCTCCTCACTCATGAATGACTTGACCAGATTGAAGGCCACAGGGAAAAGCTTTGGGGCTGAAACATACAAAATATTCCTGGGAAGTTAGACCAGAGATGACTTAGCTATATAAAGTTACAACCATTAGAATTGAACAGATCTGGATTCTACCACTGCTGTGTGACCCTGAGCTAGTTACTCACCCTCTCTGAATCTCGGTGTTGTTAACTGTAAAATGGACATTACGTTAAACAGTGTATGTATAATATTCGGCATAGTGCCTGGCTCTCACCAAACGGAAAGGTGTCAGACACAAGCTGGTTCAGGTGGGCATTGGGGTTGATTGCTCAACAGGGCTTCCTCTTTTCCACACTCAGGGTTTCCCCAGGTTGTCTTGGGGCCCTCTTGCATATAAGTGGACATAGACTTCATGTCCTACCCTAAATCACTCACTCACTGTGCACTTTCTGTGGGCTAGGCTCTGTGCTATGTCTTCTCCGTGGACTGTCTCATTTAACACTCACATGCATCTTACGAAGAGGGGACCACTGCATGCCCATTTCACAGATGGGCAAATTGAGGCTCAGAACTAGCAATATTTGAACCCAAATCATCTGATTCCAGAGTGCATGCAGTGAACCCGCACTATATGGCCATTGCAGACAGATATCATTCCTCCTCAAAGTATGCCCACAGACCAGCATTGTCCATAAACCCTCTGTTACCAATCCACCTCAAGATCAGTAAAACAAATAACAGCAAACATTTAGAATTTTCTAACTTAGTTGACATTGCTGCAATGTAGTGGCCTCTGATTTTGCATTTTTCAAGAGCATCAGTCTGTGAAGGACTGAAACTTAAAAAAAAAAAAAAAGATGAGAAAACCCCAAAATGGTTCGTCACACTGGATGGTTTGAGAAGCCCTGAATGCAATATGCAATAGCTTACCCACTGTCCCCCTCCCTTTTCATTTTCTCCCTCCCCTCACTCACTTCGCACAGCAATTAAATTCTTCAGTGTCTCAGGATAATTTGCTTCCACTATGGCAAAAAACTGTGGAGTCAAGAAGAGTTGGGTTGAGGCCATGCTTAGGAGCCCTGGTCCTGTATCTCTGTGGCTTCTGATTCTGCTGCAATAAGAGCCCCCCACAGCCTGTCCCTTCTTTCTCTTCAGTGTGATTTTCCTTGGAGGGTGGATTCCCAGCCAAATTCACTGGCTGGTCCCTGACTTTCCATGGACCCTCCATTGGCAGTGGCTTCCTAATGGCCCAGGAGCCTTTGCCCCTTGCCTGGGAGTCAGCCTTCCACCTTACCTGTTGGTAGACCTCCACAGCTGGTTTCCACAGGTGTTTCAGGCCTAGCCCCTCCATATCAAACACCATCACCACTGTCTCGATCTTCCTGCCCAGCTGCAGGGGACAAAGTGGACTTACTGGTCAGAAAATACCTCTAACAAGGAGACCCAGGCCAGAAAGGAGCCGTCATGTCTGCCCACCTCCCTGTGACACCCTGGCAGATCAGTTTCTAAATAGATGGAGCCCATCTAGGCCCTGAGGAGAAAACACACCTGAACCTGGAACTGTCTGTAATTTCATGGTGTTGTAATACTGTTTGCTCAACATTATAATCTGGGATAAGTTAACCATACACTTAAAGACTTCATTCACTATTCATTGGGTATCTTTATGGGCAATACTATATATGATGTCAGCCAGAGTTTATAGTTCCATGGCTGTACTGAAGTCCTAGTGACATGCTAACTGCCTGGTGTTGGGTGATTTAAAAAAAAACAAAAACAAAAACAAAACTCTCTGAGCCTTACTTTCCTCTTCTGTAGGATGCAGATAATTTACAACAGTTGTGAGGAGAAAATGAATGAATACCCCAATGCCTGGCCCATGGTTGGGCCCTGAAAAATATTAGCAGATATTAGTATCATCATTGCCAGAATGGTTGTCCCCAGTGGAGAATACCCATGAAGTGGACAACACTGTGTTGACCTTATAAAATCAGCCACTTCATCAGAGAGACACACTTCTATTCAGACCACCCACCCACTGTAGTCAAGTTGATTCTGGTTCCTAGCAACCTGCTAGGACAGAGTAGAACTGCCCCATAGGGTTTCCAAGACTGTATATCTTTATGGAAACAGACTGCCACATCCTTCTTCATGGAGTGGCTGGGGGGGTTGAACCACTAACCTTTTGGTTAGTAGCCAAGTGTGTAACCACTGTGACTCCTTCTATTCACACAATACCCAAAACAACCCAAACCACTGCCATTGAGTTGATTCTGACTCACAGTGAACCTATATGAGGTTTCTGAGACTACATCTTCGTGGGGGTAGTGTTATCTTTCTCCCAAGGAGCAGCTGGTGGGTTTGAACCACTGGCCTTGTGGTTAACAGTCCAGTGCTTCTCCTACAGTTCCACCAGAGCCCCTTTCTATTCAAATCAGGAACCATTAAATACGGTGCTTTCTAATTCATTAACAATTGTCTGACATTGTGCCAGGCGCTGGGAACACAGGCCCTGCTTTGGTAATATGGAGTTGGCCATTCACCAAATCATTCCTCAGATAGTGGTCACCAGGGAACCATCTACACATTTACTCAAAGACCAACACAAGCCACAGCTGGCATTAGATTCACTCAGAAGGACATGGGCCTGGAAACACAATGTGTTGGCATCAGTGGACAGCTCAGGTGCAAGGAGAAAAGACCCACAGAGGTGGGCATGGGGTCTTTTTTGGCTTAGAAGCCCCAGGCCTGCAGGACTCATTATTTTTTTGTAGTATCTCCATAGGCATAGCTTCTAGGGTCCCCATACAGGACATCCCCAGTTTCAAAGGGACACCTTCTATCAGTCTTTTCCATAAACAAAGAGGACCATCCACCAATACCGGGATTCCAGGGTTCTGAAGAGAGTGTGCTCACTGCATGTAAGGGCCATGTCTCATGCAGAAGGGGACAGGGATTTGTTGACCCTGGACTCAGGTTAGATACTCATGGGTGAATGGCTCAGGGAGATGCTGAGTGTTGAGGAGAAAGGCAGGGCAGGTGTCGCCTGTCCACGGTTTTGGTGTCCCCTGTGGGCAGACATGCCCGCTGTGCCAGCCCTGGCCTCTCACCTTCTCACTCTGCAGCTCACACTCTTGCAGAAGCAGCTCACAGACCTTGATGCGCTTCCGGATCATCTCCTGCTTGGAGGCTGACAGCAAGAGGCCCTTGGGGTCAAGGGCCCCGACGATGTCGAACCACACTGGACAGCCTTCATAGTCATAACCACACATGCCTCCTGAGTCATACAGCTGGATCACCTGGAACATGGGAAAGACCCTGACACAAACCAGCCCCCATGTTTCTGCTCCATCAAGGGCCAGGACTGGGGAGAGGTGGCAGGGAGGGACCTGGGGCATGGTGCATGGTGCTCACCTCTAGTGGCTGCCATGTAAGGATCTTATCCAGGTCTTGTTGCTTCCGAAATTCCATGTGCTGCAGAGACACAGTTGAGGCTGAAGGTCCTGTCTGCCATAAAGTCCTCTGTAGGACTCTTATGCCCGCAGTCACTAAGGACCTGCAGAGTACTCCAGCTGCCCTTCTTCCCCCGGGAGCTGGGGATGGGACAGGAGGAGTGGAAGAAACAGAGACCCAATGCAGAGAAGGGAGCAAGGAAGAAAGAAGAAGAAGCATGAAAATGGACAGGGTAAGGGTGCCCACCCTTTGTAGCTAGGCCAAGCTTGCAGGTATGGTAAGATGAGCCTTACCTGGCGGAGCATGTCCTCAGATTTCTGCAGGTCAAAGTTTCGAGCTGCAGGAAGAAGCCAAGGTAAGAGTGAATGCATAGGAGATGGTAAGGGATGCTTCAGCCTTTCTTGGATATTCCAAGAACTGAACCAATTTTTAAAGCAAATATCCAGAAGATTTTTGAGGATCCTTGATGTCAATTTCCAGGTCTTTTGAAACTGTTAGTTCTAGGGGCTGATCTACCTGTAATATATGACATCACTTAGGAGTAGGGGCCCCCCTTCCCCTCCCCCTATCATCGTCATCCTCATCATCAACACACATACACAGCATGAGGGCTGGGGAGGAGAACTGGCTTTGGAGTTAGACACATCTAGACTTGGATTCTAGCTTTTTGATTTGCAGTATGGCTTTGAGCAAGTCACTTATCGTCTCTGAACCTCTGTTTTTTGTTTTATATATTTTATCTCATGTCTTTGTTTAAATATCTTTGAAGAAACATATTTAAACAATGACATGAGATAAAATATATAAATTTTTTGGCACAGTACCTAGCTTATAGTAAGTTCTCAATGCTGTTGTTAAGTACTGTTGAGTCGGTTCCAATCCATAGCAACCCTGTACAGGGTTTCCGAGGAGGAGCTGGTGAGCTTGAACCACCAACCTTGTGATTCAAACCAACTTTGTAGTGCAGCGCATTAACCCACAGGACCACATTAGGACTTGGGGATCTTCCTCTTTTTCGCTGACCCTCCACTTTACCAAGCATGATGTTCTTCTCCAGGGACTGGTCCCTCCTTATTACAAGTCTGAAGTATGAGAGACAAAGTCTGGCCATCCTGGCTTCTGGCTGCACTTCTTCCAAGACACATTTGTTAGTTCTTCTGGCAGTCCATTACACTTTCAATATTCTTCTCCAACACCATAATTCAAATGCATTGATTCTTCAATAGTCTTCATTATTCATTGTCCAACTTTCACATGCATATGAGTCAACTGAAACAATCATGTCTTGGGTTAGGGGTACCTTAGTCCTCAAACTGATTTTTAACACTTTAAAGAGGTTTTTTTTTTTGCAGCAGATTTACCTAATACAATGTGTTGTTTGATTTCTTGACTGTTGAGTGTTGATTGCGTATCGAAGCAAAATGAGTCTTTGACAACTTCAATTTTTTCTTCATTTATCATGATATTACTTTATTGGTCCATCCTAGAGGTTCTCAAATCATGTTCCTTAACAATGTTCTTTGAGTTTGGGGAATAAAAGAAAGTCTGAAGGGGTAAGAACAGTGCTGTATGTAGAATAGGGTAAAGTTTTCCAATGAAATTCTCATAGGACATCCCTGGATACCCTAGAAGATGGATCAGATGTATTGTTGTTGGTGGAAGATCCTCAGTGAAACTTACCTGTCCTTCCCCCACCAAACAATGCAGTTTTCAATTTTCTTAAAACTTCTTCATAATAAGCCCTCATCATTGCCCTGAAACTTGCTCACCAGCATAGAGATGCTAAAGCAAATGGAAGAAATGAGGTGGTACAAGAGCTGAACAGAAATTTTCAAAGATCAGCACAAGAAGATGAAGCCAAATATTACAACAAAATGTGCAAAGATCTGAAATCAGAAAACCAAAAAGGAAGAACACACTCAGCATTTCTCAAGCTGGGGGAACTGAAGAAAAAATTCAAGCCTCAACTTTCATTATTGAAGGAGTCTCTGGGCAAATTATTGAATAATGCAGAAAGCATCAAGAGAAGATGGAAGGAATACACAGAGTCACTGTACCAAAAGGAAATGGTTAATGTTCAACTGTTTCAAGAGGTAGCGTATAATCAAGAGCCAATGATACTGAAGGAGGAAGTCCAAGGTGCATTGAAGGAATTGGCAAAGAACAAGGCACCCGGAATTGATGGAATAAAAATTGAAATCTTTCAAGAAAGTGAGGTGGCACAGGAGGCACTCACTCATTTCTGCCAAGAAATTTGGAAGACAACTATCTGACCGACTTATTGGACGAGTTCTGTATTTGTGCCCATTTCAAAGAGAGGTAACCCAATGGAATGTGAAAATCATCGGATAATCTCTTTGATATCCCATTCGAGTAAAGTTTTACTAAACGTAATACAGAAACAGCTGCAAGCGTAAAGCATACATTGACAGAGAACTTTCAGAGGTTCAAGTCAGATTCAGAAGAGGCTGTGGAACAAGGAATATCATTGCTGATGTCCGGTGGATCTTGGCTGAAAGCAGAGAATATCAGAAAGATGTTTAACTGTGCTTTATTGACTACACAAAGGCTTTTGATTGTGTGGATCATGACAAGCTATGGACAACATTGTGAAGTATGTGTATTCTGGAACACTTAATTGTGCTCATGAGGAATCTATACCTGGACCAAGAGGCAGTTTTCAAACAGAACATGGGAACACTGAATGGTTTCAAATTAAGACAGGTGTGCGACAAGGTTGTATTCTTTCACCATACTTATTCAACCTGTATGCTGAGCAAATAATATGAGAAGCTGGGTTATATGAAGAAAAACATAGCACCAGGATTGGAGGAAGACTCATTAACAACCTGCGATATGCAGATGATACAACCTTGCTTGCTGAAAGTGAAGAGGACTTACAACATTTACTGATGAAGATCAAAGAGCATAGCCTTTGGTATGGAGTACATGTCAATGTAAAGAAAACAAAAATCCTCACCACTGGGCCAATAAACAACATTCTTGTCAACAGTGAAAAGATTGAAGTTGCCAAGGACTTCGTTCTTTTTGGATCAACTATCAACACTCAAGGAAGCAGCAGTCAAGAAATCAAAGGACGTATTGTATCAGGCAAATCTGCTACACAAGACCTTTTTAAAGTGTTGAAGAGCAAAGATGTCAGCTTGAGGACTAAGGTGCACCTGACCCAAGCCATGGTATTTCCAATAACCTCAAATGCATGCGACAGCTGGACAGTGAATAAGGAAGACTGTAGAAGAATTGATGCTTTTGAGTTACAGTGTTGGAGGAGAATATTGAAAGTGCCATGGGCTGCCTAAAGAACCAATAGATCCACAGAACCTTTCAATATTGCAAGTTAAGGCTTGAATTTTTTCCTTCAGCTATTTCAGCTTGAGAAATGCTAAGTTTGTTCTTCCCTTTTGGTTTTCTAATTTCAAGACTTTGCATACTGCATTATGATACTTTACTTTGTTTTCTCAGGCAACACTGTGAAATCTTTGCTCATTTACTTCATCATGTCTTTCACTGCTTTAGCTATGCTATGTTCAAGACAAAGTTTCAAAGTCTCTTCTGACATCCATTTTGATCTTTTTTGTTTTTCCTGTCTTTTTAATGACCTTGTGGTTTTTTCATGCCCGATGTTCTTAATGTCATCCAATAACATCAGTAATTAACATTCAGTGCATTAAATCTAATATTGAGACAGTCTCTAAATTTAGGTGGCATATACTCAGTGTTGTACTTTGGCTTTCATGGACTTGTTTTAATTTTCTTCAATTTCAATTTGAACTTGCATATGAGCAATTGATGGTCTATTCTGCAGCTGGCACCTAACCTTGTTCTGACTGATGATATTGAGCTTCTCCATGGTCTTTTTGGTAGAATGACTCTGTTGTGTATTCTTTCCATCTTGTCTTGATGTTTCCTGCACCCTTCAGTATTTTGCCCATGTTGTTGTTAAGTACTGTTGAATTGGTTCCACAGAGCTGGTGAGTTTGAACCACCGACCTGATAGTTAGCAGTCCAGTGCTTAGCCTACAGGGCCACATCATTACTCTATTTTACCCATGTTGTTGTTGAATGCCATCGAGACGTTCAACTCATAGTGACCCTGTATAATGTTTCCAAGAGTGATAGATGGGGAGGTTGAACTGATGACCTTGCAGTTACCAGTCCAGTGCTTATCCTACAGCACTACACCATGTGTATAGTCATGTGTTATGCTGTCTAAAGAAGGTATTTGAAATGAACAAATCATTGGTTTTGAAGAATTCTATCATGCATTCTCCAGCATCGTTTCTATCACCAAGGCCATATTTTCCAACCACTGATCCTTCCTCTTTGCTCCCAGCCTTTGCATTCCAATCACCAGTAATGGTCAATGCATCTTGATTGCATGTTTGATCAATTTCAGATTGAAGAAGTTGATAGAATTCTTCTATTGCATCCTCACTGGCTTTAGTGGTTGGTGCGTAAATTTGAATAATAGTGGTATTAACTGGTCTTCCCTTTAGGCACATGGATATTATCCTATCACAGACAGTGTTGTACCTCATAACTGATCTGGATATGTTCTTTCTGATGATGAATGCAACAACATTCCTCTTCAATTTGTCATTCCCAGCATAGTAAACCATATGGCTGTCAGATTCAAAATGGCCAATACCAGTCCATTTCAGCTCACTAATGTCTAAGATATCAATGTTTATGCATTCCATTTCATTTTTAACAACTTTCAATTTTCCTAGATTCATACTTTGTACATGTTCCGATTTTCAATGGATGTTTACAACTATTTCTCTTCATTTTGAGTTGTGCCCCATTAGCAAATGAAGGTCCCGCGGGCTTTTCTCCCACTGGCTTTACACCATTTGTGTTATCACGGTCAACTCTACTTTGAGGAGGCAGCTCTTCCCCATTTGCATTTTGAGTGCCGTCCATCCTGAGGGGCTCATTTTCCAGCACTATATCTGACAGTGTTTCTCTGCTATTCATAAAGTTTTCAGTGACTAAATGTTTGGAAGTAGTTCATCACTCTTTCTTCCTAGTCTGTCTTTGTCTTGAAGCTCATCTGAAACCTGTCCACCATGGGTGACCCTGCTGGTATTTAAAATATCGGTGGCATAGTTTTCAGAATCACAGCAACTCACAAGCTACCACAGTACGACAAACTGACAGACGAGTGGTGGCCATTTGGTTTTAAATGGAAACGGAAAGTGTCACTTTGACAGCTGTGTATTCCACTTGTGAGGATTCCATGTATTTATATTTTTTATTTTTGTACTTAAAAGATATTTGCAATAAATAAATTGTTGGTCTTGCAAAAATGCTGTCATGTCATCTCTGGCATCATTATATTACCAAGGTCAGATTTTTCAGATTGTTTGTTTCCAACTTTCCAATTCAAATGACCAGTAATTTTTTTTTTTCCTTTTAGTGTTTTGTTTTGGGTTTTTTTTTCAACTTTTATTGTGAATTGAGTGACAGTTTACAGAGCAGATCAGCAGTTTTACATTCAACAAATCCTATACTTTGCTTCATTGTTGTTGTTGTTAAATTCCAACTCATAGCAACCCTGTATAGGGTTTTTGAGGAACAGCTGGTGGGATTGAACTGCTAACTTTGTGGTTTCCAGTTCAGTGCTGATCCTACAGTACCACACCAGGATTCCATTGTTGTTGCTGTTGTTAAGTGCCGTGGAGTCGATTCTGACTCATAACAACCTTGTACAGGGTTTCCGAGGCTGTAAATCTTTACAGGAGCAGAAAGCCTCATCGTTCTCCCATGGAGCATCTGGTAGTTTCGAGTTGCTGACCTTGTGGTTCGCAGCCCGACTCATAACCACTGTGCTACCAGAGCTCCTTAGGGTTCCATTACCTGGCTGTAATCCCCTCCATGTGCAGTTAACGGCATTTACCTCTATTCACTTTATCTGTTGCATTCCTCTCTGTGTCTCCTGCTGCCTTCATCTTTCCGCTGATAACCTTTCTCTTGTTGTATATTGCCTGTCCTGTCACCTGTGTTAGTCTACCCTCTCGCTCTGGAATAATTTTCCCTCTCTCTCTAACCATCATAGGTTTTTTTCTTTTATGAAGAAAACCTTTTCTTTTCTTTTCTTTCTTTTTTTTTAAATAACATTGGGTCTCATACAGTATTTGTCTTTTTGCAATTTACTAATTTCACTCAGTAGAATTCCCTCCAGGTTCAACCATGTTGTGAGGTGTTTCACAAATTCATCATTATTCTTCAATGTTTTGCAGTATCCCATTGTGTGTATGTACCAAAGTTTGTTTAGTCATTCTTCTGTCGATGAGTATTTAGGTTGTCTCCATCTTTTTGATTGTAGACAGCATATCAAAGGATCTTGTTTTCTTTTCCATTCTGCTCTCTCTCTCTTTCCTCTTCATTATGCAACTATGCACACTCATGAACGCTTGTAAACCAGTCACTTCATGGCTTTGTAGTTCCCCTTCCATTTTTGATAGCCAACGCCTAAATTTCTGGTCCCTATCAATCCAGTACACTAAGGAATCAAGGTTGTACCTTGATATGAAGAATCTTTCCATCTTCCTAAACTTCAGACCACCCAGCCCTTCCTCTTCTTTCTCTCCTTTCAAGGTCAACGTGTGCCAGTGGAACAAGGCCAAACTCAGCCCATGTCTTCATTGCTGAATTTCCCCCACTTCACCAGTAAATTCTTGATTGCATGTTTGATCAATTTCACACTGCAGAAGTTGATAAACATCTTCAGTTTCTTCATCTTAGGCATTAGTGGTTGGTGTGTAAATTTGATTAATAGTCGTTTTAACTAGTCTTCCTTGTTGGCTTATGGGTATTATCTTACCATTGACAGCATTGTGCTTCAGGATGGATCTTGAATTAGTGATGGACCAAAGGCTAGTACTGAACACAGTGATCAGCACTATCTTGGTTTAAGGATAGTCAGCCTGTCATCCCAAGGGCTTCCTAGGTGGAAACATTAACTTCACCTTGACCCTGTGGCCATCCAGTGCCAGGCACTACATCCTTACAACACACTTACAACACTTACACACTTACAACACACTTACAACAACACTTAAACACTTACAACACATAACAACACACTTACAACACTTACAACAACTTTGCGGTTGAAGGAACTGAGGCTCAGGGGTTTTTGTGTGACACTGACTGATCAACTTTTTGTAGCGCTAGCAAAACTCTGAACCTCCACAGTGCTGCCTCCCAAGTGTCCTTGCCCTCTTCCTCAGGATCTTCCCTCCCTCCTTCCTCTTTCCTTGCTTCCTCCCTCCCAGACTCCAGCCTCACCTCGAAGCCAGCGCAGGAGGAAGTAGTCATCGGTTTTGGGTAGGGTGGGCAGCAAGTCTTGAATGTTCTCTCGGAACTGAGGGATGGAGAGTAATCATCAGAGTGACTCCCATGGACCATTGTGCCCCCAACCTAGTCCCCACTCATTTCTGCTCCTCAGTTGGCCAGTCTACCCTATGGTGGGGACCACAGAATTAGCAACAGCATTCTTGGACCATTTTGCCACCTGGAAATTGAGCATTGCCCCAGCCCACCATGGAAAGAAGAGGTGGGCTTCTCAAGCTTTGGTGGTGACCTGCTCCCTAAGACTCTTGCAACGTGGGTCCTAGGTGGGGCCCTGACATCTTTAATATTCTCCGAGTGGTTCTGATGCAGGGCAACCAGAATGATTTAGAAATGTTGTCCCCAGTACTGCATTTTGAGGGGCCAGATTATGAAGCGAGTTGCCTAATTTCTAAGTCTCAGTTTCCTCATTTGTGAAATGGGGACAATAATAAACCAATTAAGTGAGTTTATACACATAAAGCACTTAATGCCAGGTCTGTCATGTAGTAGGTGTTGGGTAAATGTGGGCGCTCAGCAAACACTGAAAGACTGGCATCTTGGACAGTGGAGTCTTTGTGAAGAAAAACCGAGGCAAAGATTATCAGAGAGTGACTGGAAAGGAAAGAGGCTTTATTGGGACATCTGCCAGACTGTGGAGAATGACCAATTCACTGGGGGAACTTTTCCTGTTGGCAGAGTTTGGGGCAGCCTTTGGAAGTTGGAGTCTGAGGCAAAGTGAAGAGACCTTAATTCCATGGAGACTGAAACAAACAAAAAATCAATTGCTATTCAATCAACTCTGACACTTGGCAGCCCCATATACACCTGAGTAGAACTCACTCCATAGGGTTCACAATGGCTGTGTTCCTTTGGAAGTAGACCACCAAGCTTTTCTTCTAAGGTACCTCTGGGTGGCTGAACTGGAGCTGAGTGCATACCACTACCCAGGTCTCTAGCCATAGGGTCTAAAGGAGCAGAAAGCAAGACTCTGAAGACTGGGTTTGGAGAGTAACCCAGAAATCAGAATTTGGGGTTAGAGGGAGATGTAAGTAAATATGTTGGAGGTGACCCATAAACCAACTTTCAGTGAATAATGGTTACAACAAGAATATATTCCTGACACAACAAACAAGATGGCGGATCGGGTGGACGTATAGCAGAGAGCTCCACCAACAACAACACAGACTACCCGACCAAGCAGGTTCAGGGGCTGGTTCCAGAACTCTGAACCACATATAAAGGAATA